CATGTAGATTAGCCAGATCAGCAGAGGGAAATGAAGCCGCGATTAAAATAATCGCGCGGGCAGCCTGGACGCGCCGCGCCGACAAAGAAGCCTTTCTTGATCGGCACAGGTATGCCTCGTGAAACCAGGTTTACCTGTACCGATCAAGAAAGGCTTCTTTGTCGGCGCGTCGCGTCGCGTCCAGACTGCCCCGATCTGCCGACAAACAGCTGATCGGCAGAGCGGGGCAGCCATTTAAATTTAAATGAAGCCGCGATTATTTTAATCGCGGCTTCATTTCCCTCTGCTTATCTGGCTAATCTACATGCCTCCGTCGACGGAGGCATGTAGTTTAGACGTACCCTCAGAGACCCAGTCCTCCCTTGGGACCCAAATCTTATGCTGTCCAGGCTCATGGGTCCTTTCCTTTGAGCCCTTGATGCCTTGCTCCCTTCTGTTTCTCCCCGGGAAGGTCGCTTTCTTGGTTACTATAACTTCGGGCCATTGGGTATCTGAGATCAGGGCACTCACATTGGAGCTGCCTTATTCTATAAGAATAAGGTCCAATTGCATCTGCACTGGGCCTTTCTGATCAAGGCCCATTCCCAGTTCCATATTAGCCAAGTTATTTACATATCAGTCTTATTCCAAAACCTCATGTGATGGTTGAGGAGCACAGAACACATACCCTGGACGTTGGACAGGCACGGCTTTAGTAGACAAAGCCGTTCCGTTAATCAGTGCAGTTATTTGCGGCTGTTACTGACAGGATGAAAGGTTGTGTTGTATTAGCCCAGAGACTCTCATCCTAGATTATAGCCTGCATCCACTATTGCTGCAAGCTAGCAGAGGTGCCCCTACCAGAAATTGTGATAGCTTACTCAACTAGGGCACAGGGTCCCTTAGCAACCTATCTTAGGTACCAGTTCAAGAAATTTGTTGGGTCGCTTGTTTGCTTCATACTATCTGTTGACCCAGCAAGTTCAAGATGATGCTGGCTTCAGCCAAGTAGCTCTCCATTCTGCAAAGCTGTGAACGCTAAGCTCATCTCTGAGGACTCTGCTTGTGAGTCATCTACAATGGAATCAACATGAGCAAGCACTCAAGAAAAAACAGTTGTTCTTCAAGATGTCAATTCCATTACCAGCCCCTCCTTCCTCTCTGTCATAGTAGTTGGCAAGAAGTAACTGAGAGGTCGTAGTGATGGTGGCACTTGATACACGGTGCCATGAGTACAACATTTTGGGGGTGGCACTGCTGTTCCTACAGAGTCTGGTAAAGCAAAAATATCTGACTGTAGTACATGTAGGTGCACACACACCTACCTACAATGGAATGGACTTGAGGAGCAACAGTTACAAAGGGTAGGTATCAGGGTTTTTATTTTCTTGTTTATTCATATGACTTTAGGAAATTGTTTGTGAAACACAATAATGTTACTCCTAGAAATTGATGAATAAGTCTTCACCAGTTGAAGATGTATCCCTTTTACCAAAAACGTTCAGATGCTGATATTTTGAATATTCATTTGCTTTAGAATTTTTAATGAGCTTTCTGTGTTAGTGCATCATTTTTATTCAGAATTTAATTAAAACCCAATTAAGCGCTTTGGGAAAGTGTTCCTTCCCTTAAGTGTGTGAGGTATTTTGAGAACAGCATTTATTCAACTCCGTGACTTGCACATACTATTCTGTCATTGCTGCCAAATCATTTCCCTCTGTTCTGTCTGTAACTTCCATTACTATCTGCCTTTGCCAAAATTAACTAACTGTGTGGTGTGACCAGATGCTGAAAACATGAGCCGTTGCATCAAGGTCATGCAGGAGACAGAAATGAAAGTTCCCAGAAACTGAATGGTCAAGTTTCTTTACAAATAAAACCCTAAGATATTTCCATTAAACTGAAGCACAGGAATTAAATCTAACCATAAGTTGCGTCTATATCTGGTCTTGATGCTAAAGTTGTTGTTCAGTGGTATTCTTACCCTGCTACTGAGGAGAGTGTGTGAATGCTGAGGGAGACCTCAAGATACAGAATTGCATGAGTTCTGTGGACCCCAAAAGAGTGTGGGTGTGTTTGGGATGCAGGCAAGATGGGACTAGAGTAGTAGCAGACCACAGAGGAGGGATGGTCCAGTGTTTTGGATGCTAGCATGGGAAGTGAGAGACCTGAGTTCAATTCCTTGCTTTGCTAACAACTTTGGGCAAGGCAGTTCAGTTCCCCATATGCTCAGATACCACAATGATGGGGACCCTAAAGTACCTTAGATAGACATTTGATTTGCTTAGCATACCCTTAAGTGAGGTTTAGCTCTACTAGCTAGAAAAGGATGTTATTTGATGCCATCTTTGATTATGTCTTAATGGTTTCCATATCACATTTGCTCCATTTACAAGTAAAAAGGGATTTTTATTTCAGCCATGTATCAGAGGGGTAGCTGTGTTAGTCTGAATCTGCAAAAGCGACGAGGAGTCCTGTGGCACCTTATAGACTAACTGAAGTGTTGGAGCGTAAGCGTTCGTGGGCAAAGACCCACTGACGAAGTGGGTCTTTGCCCACGAAAGCTTATGCTCCTACACTTCAGTTAGTCTATAAGGTGCCACAGGACTCCTCGTCGCTATTTCAGCCATGCGAACAGCCTGGGATATGAAATTGAAGTTTCTATTCTGGCTTGCATAACATCACTGGGGCTACGTCTACACTGGCATGATTTTCTGAAAATGCTTTTAACGGAAAAGTTTTCCGTTAAAAGCATTTTCAGAAAAGCACGTCTAGATTGGCAGGATGCTTTTCCGCAAAAGCACTTTTTGCGGAAAAGCGTCCATGGCCAATCTAGACGCGGTTTTCCACAAAAAAGCCCCGATCGCTATTTTCGCGATCGGGGCTTTTTTGCGGAAAACACTAATGGGCTGTTTACACTGGCCCTTTTGCGCAAAAGTCTTTCAGAAAAAGACTTTTGCCCAAACAGGAGCAACATAGTATTTCCAGAAAAGCACTGACGATCTTACATGAGATTGTCAGTGCTTTTCCGGAAATTCAAGTGGCCAGTGTAGACAGCTGGCAAGTTTTTCCGCAAAATCAGATGATTTTGCGGAGAAACTTGCCAGTCTAGACACAGCCTGGGAGCAAGGGTTCTGTGGGCCAGTTTCTCTTCTTAGATAAATTATGTGATGTTACCAGTATAAATGTTGGCAGAATTCACATTTCTGTTAATGTCTCAGCCACAGTAAAATGCATCTCTCTCTTAGCTGGATGGACTCTGCTGTGTTAACAGGGGCAAAGAGCAGTAAAACCATATGTATATCATTTAGGTACTACTCTGTCTACACCCAGGGAAAAGATCTGCTAATTAAGGTCCCACTTTTACATAGTCACTTTTCTGACCATATCTGCAGTCTAAGGCAGCGATGGGCAACCTGTGGCCTGTGGGCTGCATGTGGCCCATCAGAGTTCTGTGTGTGTCTTCCCCATCCCCCTCCTCCCATGCCTCTCCTGAACTGGGGACCCTGCACTTATATTCCTTCCCCTGCCTCCCAGCACTTCCAAAGTGCTGTGAATCAGCTGCTTTGCACACTGGCCCTGCTCCTGTTCCTCCCCCTCCCCTGCCTTTCCAGAACTCAAACACCAAAAATCAGCTGACTTGCAGAATTCCAGCTCTGGGAGAAAGGAAATGGTGTCAGGATGGGGTGCAAATCAGACGATTCCTGGCACTCCAGAAATGCTGTGAGGGTGGGGGAAGAGAAGGGATGCGGCACATTCCAGGGCTGGGAGTCAAGGAAGGGGCCCTGTGGGGATTTGAGGGAAGGGAGTGGAGCATGGGTGTGGCCTGCAGTGATGGAGGAGAGTTGAGCAGATCCTGGCAAAATGAGAAGTGACGCAAATTTAAAGCAAGGGCATGTGTGAGGTGCATGCTAATTGCACACAATGTTGTGAGAGACCTGTGCTCCCTCAGCTTTTGTTACTTTTGCCAGCAATTTAATTTGCCCCAATAATGGATCATGTTGTATTGAAAAAGGCATGAAAAAGGAGAATCAAGTGAAATGTATTTAATCTTATTCTTGGGGATCATAGTACACATGCCTCATTTCAATCTTGTGGCCCATTCGCTAGCCTTGGTTGCCCATCGCTGTGCAAAGGTCAGCCCTACATTTACAATCAAGAACTCTAGCATTCCCCTTAGCACCAGGTGCTCCAATATGAAGATGATAGGTGGCATACCCTTCTTAGAATCAAAACCACACTGTGTGCACAGAGAAACAGGGAAAACAAAAGCTGTCTTTATATTTTTTTGGGGCCTTATTTTACAGATGCAATTTTTGAGCTCCCAAAAATCCATCTCCTGTGATTTTATTTTTTTTTTACTTTCTTTGCAAGGGTGGGGCACATAAAATAACTCGCATTTCCTGAGATATAGTTGCAATTAGTATGATCTATGTATCAGTGTCAATGTTACTGTGACCACTGAGCATCATATAATGAATATGAAAAATTCATGTAAACCGCACACTCAAGAGTATCTGATACAGATCTGCAATTTGGTCAGCACATCATTATTTCTTCATTAGAAAAAAGAGCAGCTGGGTAGCATACTAGGCAGCAGTGTTGTCCTCTGGCTTGCAGGACCTTGGCTCTAATCCTATTTTTTAGTCATAATGAAATGAATTTGGTGGTGTCAGCAGAGTTCATGTTGCAAAACTACTGCATGTGCTGGCAGTTTCTTTACTCAGGAGAGGCTTGGAGATTAGGGAGTCTAGAAACTGAAACCTTTCACCTCTAGACATTATGGCTCCTCCAGGTCATTCATGAAGCAGCTTAGTGAGGCAATGTGGAGAAGCTCAAAGCAGTGGCAGCCTGCCTAACATATTGCCTATGAATAAAGAGAATCATTTCCATGCTGCTGTTTTAACCTTCAGAATCGCAAATATTCTTTAGTGCTTTTTCTCAAATAAAGTACTCTACTCAGCAAATTTTGCTAGGTTTTGACTTGTGTATCAATGAAACAATTTTTCATTTTTTTTAAGGTGGTAAAAGATGTTTGCAGCAACTGCACTGGAACTATAGATTCAGATGGACTATCATCTAGTCCGATACACAAGACGGAACTGGAAAAGGTAAAGTTAAAGAATGAGCAATGCAAAAATAGATGATGATGATGATGATGTATTACAGAAGATGTCAATAGCAAATCTAAAGTTCAGGTTGCATTTATCCTTAAAGCGGGTCTCTAATTAATGACTTAATTCATTCTCTTCATTTGGCACAGTGTGTAATTTTTTTCAGTAAAATACTTGTTAACTTTTGCGGAGGAAATATTTTAAGATGCTTTTTTTTCCCCTGTTTATTTTATTTTATTTTTTTTTAATTTCCCCCCTCTTCCTCTAATATCTGTGTGTTCCTCTAGAAATAAATTACACCGTTCCCAAAGACTCCAAATTTCTCTCACATTCTGATAGCATCTCTGGCAGAGGCCATTTAGAAAATGAAATACACAAACAATTATTCCTCCGATTCAGGTAGGCCTGAATCTGTTTAGCCTAAATCAGCCAACTTCAGCAACTCGTATCCATCAGCAGTTTTTGTTTTAGATGCTTCCAAGTGAGCATGCAGGTGACACAGCGGGTGAGCTGTGGGGTAGAGATGGGCCTAGAAATGAAGGGGCAGGAGGCAGAGGGAAACAAGGACAGAGATGGGTGCTGGGGATATGATGGGCTGGACTGGGATTTGGGGGGCTGGCAGAGAAAGTCAATTTTATATTGAGGCTTGAGCACCCTTGGCATTCCAAAATAACAGTATTTAGAGCCTGTCAGGTACTCAGAGATACTTGGCTCCCTGGCACACTAAGGATGTATCTACGCTGCGCTTAGACCCATGTGGCTGGCCCATGCCAGCTGACTCAGGCTTGCGGGACTGTTTAATTGTGATAAACTTAAAAAACAAAAAATAGTCTGGTAGCACTTCAAAGACTAACGAAACATGTAGATGGTATCATGAGCTTTCATGGGCACAGCCCACTTCTTCAGAGACATTGAGGCTCAGGCTACAGCATGAACTCTGGGACCTCTCCCACCTCCTAAGGTTCTAGAATCTGGGCTCTTGCCCAAGTCTGAACATCTGTAGAGTAGAGGAACAGCCCCTTAGCCCAAGTCCCGCAAAGCCAAGTCAGTTGGTGCAGGGATTTTAATTGTGTTGTTGACATATCCTGAGGCAGCAGACTGACAATGATCAGGATGGCTCTGAAGTGAGGCATCAATGTACCCAATGCTCACTGTAGGAATGCTGCTTTAGACCCCTAACCTGCTGGACTTCTGCACAGTCTGACCCCATTGTGAGATGGCAGTCCTGTTTGTTAAATGCCAATTCCTGGTCCCATTAAAATTTAATTTTTAAAAGTCCCATTGACTGAGATTTGATCTCAAGATTCCAGAAGTCAAAGTTCATAGTTAGGTAGCCTAGATTCATATTATTGTAATGCCATTGGTATCAGTGGAATAGTTCTGGGCTCGTCGATTAACTTTCATGGTTACATGCAGGCTCCACTGCCCACGCTGCTGCCTCTGCATCAGAGACAGCAGTGCCGAGGGGGGGCAGGTGACTTCATGGTAGCCGGAACGTGTGGGGAGCACAGCGGGCTTCCTGTGCGCACCAGCCCCCCATGGAACTGCCTCCCCTTGTGTAAATGTGTAACCGCTGAAAAATATACATTTACCAAAATAAACACATTTTAATTTCCCTAATGGTAATATGAGAGAGAGAGAGAGAGAGAGGTCCTAGATTCTAAAATGTGCAAGAGCAAGTAAGATGTGCTCATATTAGAAGAAAGAGATCTTCAAAATGATACTTTTAACTAATGCTTTAGATATTACAATTGACTACCTTATACAAACAATGCATTTGTATTGGCATCATTTCAGAACTTTCAGTGCATATAAAAAAGAGTCTCTTCAATTAAGTTTTTAGCACCAATTACTCTGTACTAGCTGGGGAAGACAATACAGAGTGGTGCAGCAGAAAATTTTAATGGCATAAGTTTGGGATGCCAACCTTGCTCATAAATGGTAAAGCCACGAATGAATTATGTAAACTGTCTCCAGCAGATGCCAATAAAAATGTTATGCCACACCACAATGTAGTGATTTTGTTCATGCCACGCATTTTAGGTAATAGCTATTTTATGAACTTTAGATTTTTAATTTGTTTATTAGTAATACATACATAATTGGTAGTCTCTAATTTCATAGACCTTTTTATAGTCTAAGACTTTAAGGCCAAAAGGGGGGACCATTGTGATCATCTCGTCTGACCTCTTGCATACTGCAGGCCACATAACCGCACCCATACACTGCTGTAATAGACCTATAATCTCTGGCTGAGTAACTGAAATCATGATTTAAAGACTTCCAGTTGCAGAGAATCCACCAGTTACTCTAGTTCATACCAGCTACTTACATACACCAAAAGTTCTGAAATTCTACCTATAGAAATGTGTTGGTTGGTGTCACTTGTAAATATATACCTAAAGCATTAATACAAATGATAGTTTTGAAGATTTCTTTTTTCTAAAGTGAGCACTTCTTCCTAGAATCTTGTTGTTTAATAGAGAGCAACATTTTAGAATCTAGAAATGCAATAAAAATATATTATAGCCAGCATGGTACTGGGACTAGGGTACAGGAGGGGAGTATGGGACCTGGGAGGGAGTTTGAATAAAGGAGGGGGTTGTGACCTGGGGGAAAGGACTGGGGTGCAGGAGGGGGGGGGGGGGGGGGGGGGGGGGGGGGGGGGGGGGGGGGGGGGAGTATGGGTACAGGAGAGGATTCTGGTCCAGAGGAGGGGTGTAGAAGTGTGTGTGCAGGGTCTGGTAGGCGGTTGTGGCCTGGAGCAGAAGTGCAAGAGGGGGTGCAAGGGTTTGGGTTATGACCTGGGTTATTCAGAAGAGCAGGGGATTGGAGTGCAGTGTCCAGGAGGGGCTATGGGTGCAGTTAATTATTATAGTTACCCGATTAGTCTATTACACCAAACTCCTTTATCCTTTTAAGAGTATTTGGCAATATATTTCTAATGTGTGCTTAGTTTTGTTTTGCTTTAATACTTTTGTGGTGACATAAGAAATCTATGTAATGTAAATGGACTCTTCACTATCTCATGTTTGTTCTCGGGATGGCTGCTTGGCATGCACTTAATTTAATAAGAATGATTTTAATTTGACTCATAACACATCGTTTGGCCAGTGTGACCACATGAGAAATGACCTAATTTATTTTGTCCATGCAGAAATTGTCCTCTGAGAGGCCAAGCTCAGATGGGGAGGGTACAGTAGAAAATGGAATCGCTACAGTGTGCAATGGAAAAGAACAAGGTGAATTCCATATGCAAAGTGTCTTTTAGATATCCTGTATAAAGACTATAGTATTTGTTTTCTTTTATGTACTTAGTCTTATATGAATTCTGAAAGTTGACCTATGCCAATCTTGAATTATTTAAACCTTTACATTGGTGGATATTAGAACATCTCCATTCTAGTTAAGAGTGATCTCTGTGTAACATTGATGTAAGCGACAGCAGAGTCAAGATCCATATGTTAAGTTTTTTAAATGATTTTTTCCTGTGTTTATAAAGTATGTTGCCTTCTATGAAGGAGTTCGGCCAACCACTAACTGTACGTAAGATTTTCCCCTATAATTTTAAACAGGAAGGGTATCATAGAATTTTATAAGGGAAGACAAGAATCACGTATGCTAAATTACTTTAAAATGATGTACTCCGCTTTGGAGTCCGAAAGCTTGTTCCCAGTCTTTAGATTCCAAGCTGAAGGACATTCCAAATTAAATTTCCTGAGTAAGGTCTGCAAAATCAATCCCCAGATTTTTGTTCAAGGGGAAACAAAAAGATAGATTCCTGCAAATAAATAGGTGATACCAACCTAATTATGTCTGTTAGCATGACATGTACGACGAATATTCAGTCTTATTCAGAAGAGCATGTTAGCTTTAATTAGTACTTTCCTGAGGCTGTGAAAAGGCACTGGAAAACAGTTGCACCAACACTGGCTTTTGGGCAAGCACTGTGTCTCCCCTTCCTAACACAAGTGGGAGTTTGTTTCCTTTGTGTGTTTTAGTATGTCATCTTTGCCCTCCTTTTCCAGTGGAGATTTTGAATGAATCTCTCAAATGTATAGCTCTCCATACCCCAATCAACAAAATGAAGCAAAATAGCTCACTATGACTTCTTCGATCCAAAATGTTTAGCTACACTTAAAAACTACAAAAACATTCATAAAACTATCGAAGGCACATTCAAGCTGTAGCTGTTCAAGCTGGTTGCATATCTGTTCAAAATATGTGTGTAAATCCAAAATATGTGCACAGTCCAACATTTTCACGAGTGATTAGTGATTTGAGCGCCCCACTTGAGATACCTTATAGGGGCTTGATTTTCAAAAGCATGCTGAATGCACACCTTCTGAAAATCAGGCTCTTGAGAAGTGTCTGAAGCTGAGTAATCCAAAGCACTAGTCACTTGAAACTCTTGGCCTTCAGCTCTGTTTCAGGAAAGTCAGACTTTTGTAGTAGTGAAGAGAATAATACAAAACAATGCCATGTAATGCATTAAAGCATGGCTGGCAACACTAAATAATTGTAAAGGGGTTCTGAATGAGTTGTAGGATTCTTTTTTTTAAAACAGCTGTAACCGTAAGAGCGAAAGCCCATTTAGCCATGTGAAAGGAAACTGACATCCCTGTCCACTAATCTCCTTTCTGCTCCTGCAGAGCTTCTGCACACTTCCCCCCCCCCCCCCCCCTCTCTGGTTCTGCTGCCCCCCCCCCCCCCTCCCCCTTGTTCTGATGTGGTGAAGGTGGTGAGAAGAAATGGCTTACTTGCCTCTCTGTCTTGAAATCAGGGGATGTATCCCTTGTGCATGCTGCAAGAGAAAGAGATTGAGAGAGAGATTGTTTTCTCTGCCTTTCTTCTCCATTGCAGAATAAAATACCATGGGGAATGAAGGTAGAGGAAGCAAGAACATTGGAGTTCACGTGGGTTGCTTTCATTTCATGTTCCCAGTGCTGTGAATTCTTCCCTTGCACTTCACCTCTCTGAGCTTTTATTCTCCACACCCAGACATAAACTCTCCCTCTCCTACTCTACAGCTGCAGATGTTCTTAAGCTACTGCTGTGTGGAATAGCAAGCCATCTTCAGTCAAGTGCTGCCTCCTGCTGTCTGCCCATGATGATATGAGCAGATGGGATGTTCCCCTTGCCTAGAACTTTGGGGATTCATTGCATGTAGAGACAGTAAAATATTAGATTTGATCAGCCCCGCAGATCTGTGGACAGGATTTAGATCCCCCTTCCCCTCCCCTGCTCCGCCACACACACACACATCATCTTTCTGTTGAGGATTTTCATATAATTCACTTTCATCTGTGAAAACAGGACTCTGCCCCCACCCCATAGCTGTCTGTACAATGGTGGCAGAATCTCACTGAAAGAGATAGTCTTGATCATAAATGGAATTTTGAATGATTTCCCATGTTAACAAATAACTAAAGCTTAAAAAACACAACAAATTATGGTCTGAGAATTTCTAAATGATTTCTCTCATACATTCTTTCTCCCCAATTCCCAAGTCACCTAATTTTTTCCAGTTATTTTTCTATCATAGTTGTGTTTGTCAGCATTTTAGTTTACACTTACAGAGTTTTGGTTTTTGTCTCCAAATGCTTGCTTGCATGTTTGTGTGTGGAAAGGGGGAAAGATGTCACTGAAATGCAACTCAGTCACCACCACTAAGTTACTTTTTTTTTTGTCAACGCCACAAATCAACTAAGGTTGAGCTCAAAGTGAGCCTACGTTGCAATAATATTTAACTGGACTGAGCTTTATGCTGATGATGACACTCAAACCAGATAATTGTGGTTCTAGTTTCACAAAGTTTTGTGCAGCTCTGTTCTATTTATTGGTTGTAATTGTGTACTATATTTTACAAACATACATAATGTCATTTAGCCACTTTTAAAAATTGTATCCTTAGCACTGATCTGTTGACTTCAATGGAAGACAGTTAAGTTCAACACCAATCTGTATGGTTATACCAATCATACTGATACATTATTTTAAATTCCTTGATGTGTTGATTGGATCTGGTAAACTTTTTTCCAGCACTTTTCTTTCTATAAAAATGAACATCGGCTCCTACTCTGGGAGCTATAAATGGTCTTGATTATTCCATTAGAAAAAACGTTATAATACATGTCTTTCCCAAGGACCCATTCTGATCAATGTAGTTACTTCGACCTCGTTCCAACAGAGAGGATATTTTTTCCAGGCGTCTGCTTACCGGGAGAATGTTCTGATTCGTTGCTATGGCATTATGTTGGAAATGCCAGTAAGAAACAATAACAGGAGATCATTCAACTATATTTTTTTTCCAGTCAGGTTAAAAGCACAGCTTGCAGTTATCTTAACCACACTTCTAAATTAGAAGGTGGTTATAGTGGAGATCAGTAATTAGACTGATAAATTTAAATGATAAAACTTGCTTTTTGTTAGTCTTACTTTCTGCGTGCCCTATTTTTGATATTGTGCTGAGCATGTGATATGAGCATTGGCATTAAATAACGGCACCTTCAGTTGTGCATTTCTTGTCACAAGGCAGCTGCTTTGTCCAAATGTTCATGATAAGAATTAAATCAGTTTTGTGTATGCTTGCATATTTGCAATGCAGTTTTCCTTTCTGTTTTGATCCGTGTGCTTTAATATAATTGGTTTTGTTCAAACATACTAAGAATATACATGTTTGTTTTCTTAATAGTTAAGAGGAAAAAGAGTTCCAAGTCAGAAACCAAGGGTACAGTGACTAAAGTAACAGGGAAAAAAATAACAAAGATCATCAGTCTAGGAAAGAAAAAGCCATCAACAGATGAACAAACCTCATCAGCTGAGGAAGATGTTCCAACATGTGGTAAGTGATCTGACTCTTAGACTCTCAAGCTTACACTTAGCTATTCATATACAATTGCCCCTACTGCAGTGGTTTTCAAACTTGTTAGTATTGTGTAAAACTTCATAAGACAACAGGTGTCTTATGTGCTGTTTCCCCACTCAATCGTAATTTTTCTTTTCCTGAAATCAACAGGATAGTATTTAAATATTTCAGGACACCAGGTGAAAATGTGATAGGAGTGTTGCTTGCTTAACTCTTATCTATTCCAATTTTGTATCCATGCTATTTATTTTCTCTCTCTGTCTCTGTCTCTCTCTCTCTGTGTGTCTCTCTCTCTCTGCCTATAAGTATTTGTATATTTAGCGCAGACCTTTCTTTCATTTCCAACAGCTTTTTTCCTTTCCGAGGGCACTTTACAATTGCACTTTGTTTTCCTGTTTTAGCAACAACTCCATATGTGAACCAAAGATGCGCCTAAAAAAGAAAGCCATGAAGCAGCTATAAAGGGTTCAAAGGTGCCAAAAAGGATTGTTTTCACCCATTTAGATGATCAGAAAAGTCTCTGGAAACCCTAAAAGAGGTCATTCAATTGGGCAGCAATTGGCAAGCCTGACAGATAGAAGCAGCTCCATGGACCATGTGATAAACCACAGGTGGTCCACAGACCACAGCTTGGAATCACTTGTATAAGCAACTTTTTATTAAAAAATGTTTGTGTGTACATGTGTGTGATATACATGATATATAATATGTAAGAGAGTACAGAAGTGTTTATCAACTGAAAAAAGCAGCTGGAAAAAAGCACAGTCCAGCCAAACTGACCTTCTGCAACATCTGGCTTCCATGGAAGCTAAAGACTATCTGAGCTTTGCAGTTAATTGACTACACTCTACTGTGTGACGCTATGTCTACACTACAGGGTTTTTGCTCAAAAATCTGCAGAGCTTCCACACTTCAAGCACGTTTTTGCGCAAGAAAATTTACAGTGAATTGACAGAACAGAGGGGTTTTTGCGGTATAGGTATAGAAGGTTTTGCATCATGTTCCAAAATTGGCTCATTTCTACTAGCTCCTTCATAGACAGGAGCTTTTTTTCCCCCTGAGCATGTTTGCCTTATTTCCAAATCTCAAAAGGGAAGGAAAATGACAAATGAATTAGTGATGAGGTGACACAATGTAAGGAGGAAAGGAAATCACCCTGCGCTCTGGCTATCATAGGAGGGTTCTTCAAAGCTGAATTGTTATTCTTTGTAAATCTAGCTGATAGGCTGGACATGAAGAAAAACTCTGGCATAGTGGTTAAGCATTGGAATAAATTGTCTAGGGAGGCTGTGGAATCTCCCATCATTGAGATTTTCAAGAGCAAGTTAGACAAACACCTGTCCATGATAGTCTAGACAATATTTAGTTTTGCCATGAGTGCAGGAGGCCAGACAAGATGACCTCTCAAGGTCCCTTCTGGTCCTATCATTCTATGAAAGATGGATTGCTTTTCTTTGTAAATCAGGCCAATAGGCAGAGCCCAAAGCAGTCTCACCTCTTCCCCTGTACCTCTTTCCCCATTTAAGACCATACACAGGAAGTGGAAACCTGCTGGTTTTTTAATGTTAAATAGGACCATTTGGGAGGAAAAAGGAGGTAATCATCTTTTAATTCCAGGAAAGTACATTGTACTGCAGAAGCTTCTGTGAGCAGCACAATGGGAGGGGAAAAAGAGATTTGGTTAAATAATAGGGGACCCTCATCATTTATAAATAGGGCAGATGCCATATATGTAAGAAGTCTTTTCCATCCCTACAGCTGTATCATTTTGTACTGACGAAACAATCTTTTGTTCAAGAGCAGTGGAGATGGGATACGCTGGACAATACTGAGAATTCTAAATCCCCAAGATCAAGGGGGTCTTTCTTTTTCCAGAATTCTACTTTTGGAGGGTTGGGGTTTTTTGATTGGGGAGAGGGCTTGGAGGCATTTTGTACAGTTCAGATAAGCTGATATATTTTGCTAAATCAAGCTCTGAAATTACAACTGTGATGTTAGAATGGAAACCGACAAAAAATTAAACCATGTAACACATAGTTTTAATGAAAACCAAAAAGATAGCTATCTGGAATGATTGAGCTTTCATCCCTGTGACTGAAAATGAAAATCGGCAACAAGGAAGGAGATTAGTCATTTCATATAGATTTTGTCCCGAATAAGATGTCATTCGATCCTTTCCTTTTTTAATACACTCTTTGGAAGTTGAAATATACTGTCTAAAATGTATGCACCATATGTGATTGGGAATCAGGTTCAAAGTTCCTCTTCTCTTCCAATATAAACCAGAAAGCAAGTGTTTTAACTAAACCTAACATGAAGGTGTTCTTGGGGGTTGTTTTTATTTTGTTTTTAAGTTACTGATTTTAATTTCAGTGAAACCCCAGTAGAGGGGTTTTTGTTCTGCTTTAAAATTCTCCTGCAGTGGTACAAACCCAAAGAACATCAGAAACATGTGCTTTACACAAAATTAAATGCAATGAATAACAGATAAAGCTTAGCTGTTCTAGCTAAGTGGAATGAATTTCTCAGTGGCTCCAATTTAATGGGTTTTTATTCAATTGTTTTCAGAAATAATAGACATAAACTCATCCTTGATTATCTCACAGTACCACAGGTTTTTCTCCTTGTACTCTGCAGCAGCCCTATGATGTGTCATTTTCAACCCCTTTTTCACGTGGTTCCCTGAAACTTCATCACTATATTTAACTTACTGTCCATATACATTCAACTTTTTCCTAGGTTGGTACCAGTGATATGGTTGATTCTACACATATTGCATGTACACAAGAAACATAACGAATAACACATGGTAACCATGGCCTCTGTAATGGTGTTTTGCCGTTGTCAGCAGCTTAGGTTGCATACGGTTGTTTTCCTGCAGCTAAGTTATAACGTTCATATTTTGCTATTCAACAGGGACCTCCTAATCATGCCTGTGTAACCACTTTCGCTAATCTTGCTTCCTTGCAACTCTCCAAGCATTGGGATGTCTTTTGAGTGCTTAGTCCAATGTGTTGCTGATGCTGTTTTATGTGCATGTTAATTAGGCCCCTGGTTCCTTGTTGAGTCATCATGGGTTAGCTTTTGCTATTTTTCCAGAAAGCACAATGAAAACACAGTTAGCCGTGTGAGCTGGATGCAACTACAGAACTGTAGAATATGGATCAGCTGTGAAAAAGCTGTGTGGGCACAAATCAATTGTGTATGTAACAATGTGCGCAGGTTGTTTCTAGTATAGTCTAAGATACTTTGAAACTTTTAAAATGGTGTTTTAAACATTATCCTATGTTGAGATTCACGATAGAAACATTCTCCTCCCCCCCACCCCCCAGTCTCCCTGCCCCTCACCTCCACTTTTACTAAAATCTTGAGGAAACCCTGTAGCTGATGAGCTCCTGTACATTCAACCATAACTGTCACGTACTCAGCACAGTCATTTGCATATGTTTGGAATATGACCAAGATTAAATCTTTATAGGCCATGCTTTCTGAGTTACTGGTACAGTGAGAGTTTCGTTTAAAAAAAAAAACCATTTGTCTTAAAATCATCTGGATTTTCAATCTGCACGTACAGAAATAAGTTTTATATGAACTAGCATTACATTGAAAAAGCAGTTTCTTTTTTTTTTTTTTTAAAAGTAAAGTCTGAAATAGCTCATGGTTTATTTTATTGCAGGATATCTGAATGTGCTCTCCAATAACCGATGGCGTGAACGCTGGTGCAGAGTGAAAGATAATAAGCTCATTTTCCATAAGGACAGAACCGATCTGAAGACGCACATTGTTTCTATTCCTCTGCGTGGCTGTGAAGTCATTCCAGGCTTGGATTCTAAGCATCCCTTGACATTCCGTCTGCTTCGAAATGGGCAGGAAGTTGCAGTGTTAGAGGTGCGATGTTTATTGATGTGCATATTTTGCAGAGATGCACATGGGCTAATTACATGACCTCTCATTCATGCAACCTGCATTTCAAAATGCTTTCTGCAGAGCTGGGTAATAGACATTACAAAAAGAAACCAGTTTAAGAGTTACAGGCAATAGAGACTTGTCCAGATTATAATTAATGGAAGGGGAAAACCCTGAGGCCATTGATTTTTAATTTACTACAGTCTTCCCTGTTGAGATGTTTTCTGTTGTCTTTCTCTCCACTCTGACCGTTTCTCATCCCTTTATAAGTGCTTTTGCACCTGCCCTGTTAGTCTTCTATGAAGGAGCTAACTCAGAAAACAGACAACTGAGCACTAATTACATAACATTACTGTGACTCACCGCACTGAAGACTGGAATTCAGAATCTGTATTTCTCCGGAGCACTTTAACCAGCTTCAAGATTTGTTACTCTGAAGTTATGTCAGGTATATCCATACTAGAGACATGTGGTTCCTAGCTATAAGTTGAGCCTCCTTCCCTGGACACTACACATATAAATAGAAAAACACTTCAGTTGTACACAGGTCATTATACCATCATTTTCATTAGACCTTTTCAAGCAAGGCTATGCACTATATACACATCTAACGTTGAGGTACGGCTGTAAAAAGCTGGCATATAAGTCCCTATATTGCAAGTAGCCTTGGTGCTACTATCGCATAGTGGTATCCTCTCTAGTCTACATTCTGCTGCACAAGAGTCAGATTTTTCAAAAGAAAACTACCCGATCCAGTAGTACTGCCTACACTATAAAGCACTGTTTTATAAGCATCAACTTCTTCCAGATCAAGGAGAAGCAAGATACCAGCAGTGAGAAGCATGATTCCATGGAAATACCCCTATGTGTACTACCGCTCAGTAATTCTCGAATAGGGATATGTGTATTCTGGTGGGACACAGAGGTCTTCCAAGGGGATATACCAACTCCTTTAGAATATTTGCCTCCTTTTACAACAGGCATCCTAAAATGCACCAGCAATCAGTACAAACTATATAGAAATAACTTGTTTATGCTATTGTATATATTTACTATACATTGATACACAAATACAATATTTATGTTGTATACCAATATTCCAATTGGTTTTATAATTATATAGTAAAAATGAGAAAGTGAGCAATATTTCGTTAATAATATGTTGTGACACTTGGCTATTTTTATGTCTGAGTTTGTAATGAAGTAGTTATTAAGTGAGGTGCAACTTGGGGGGATGCAAGACAAATCAGACTCCTGAAAGGGGACTAGTAGTCTGGAAAGGTTGAGAGCTACTGCCTGAACTAGTGAAAGGTAGCTGGACAAGTATCACTGACAACTAGGTATCCAAGCACTTTTCTGAGGAAGGAATTATTTGGTCTGGCAGTCGGTGGTAGCAAAAGATTGAGGTCTTTAATAAGCCCAATACAGCAAGAAAGTAAACCTGTCAATTTTTCTAAGAAGCTGAACAGAGTTCTTGGCACTTATCCTTCCCTGAAACATAATGTAATGCTGGATTATAGAGAAGCTCCCTGTCTTGCAGCTGAGTGGGATAATGGGGGAGGAGGCGGGGAGAGAGACAAGATGTCAACTCTGTGGTCCGTGCAAACCAAAAGGCTTAGGAACAGGATTGTGGTTAGTCAACTTGCTGGAATCGCATGGAGGTTAAAAAGAGGATAGGCATAATTCAGATATTGAGGAAAAAAATAGCTGAGGCACCAAAGGACGTGAGGAGAAGAAATCCTTTAATGGACTGCACATCAATGCTGGAAGGGTGGGTAACAACCACGGAACATAAGTTGCTCATTTATGAGCATACAGTTGTTGAAGGCGGTATTACCGAAACCTGGTAGGGTGATTTTCATGACTGGAATGTTAAATCAGTGGTTATGACCTCTTAAGGAAAGTTCAGATAGTCAATAAGGGAGGGGAAGGGACACTCTTGCCAGAACTGACATTATCTATTTCCAAGTCATGGATAACGCAGGAAAAAAAATGATCTGAATGCTTGTGGTTCAAGAACTGAATGAAATGTTGTATAAAGAAGAGGAACTAGGGCAAGGAAATTGAGATAAAGGAAAAAAGTCTCTGAATCTGTTACACTGAATAAAGAAACTTTTAATGAAAGTAAATAAAAATACTGAAATGCCTAGAAAATTGATTTTTTTTAAATTAAAATAATTCAGTTTCAAAACTTAGAATTATTGCACATTTTTCTTTTCTTTTTTTCATTTTTCAATCTGTTCCCATATTTCTTTTTCTAAGGTTACCCTGCCTTTAAATTTTGGACAAGTTCCCTTTATTTAAAAGCTTAGCCTTGTAGTAGAAAATATTTGTGTAAGGTTTCAATTTTCTGAAAACTAAAATAAGCAAGGTGCATACTTAGATACACCAACTTCATGCATTAATGTTTTTCTTTCTTTGCTGCAACTGTTCATATTGCTTTGCTCCATGATCTATTAACATGCTGTTGCTTTAGAAGTGGTCATTATAACAGAATAACCTCAATGAATATTACTTTTTGTTAGCACAGTTTGGCAAAGGTGATCCAGAACCTCATATGCAACATTATATCAACATGCCAGTTAAAAAACCATATTTATTAAATAGTTAATAGAAATAATAGGGGTTTTATTATGGTAAGTTAGAGTTTGTGTAACTTACCTCCCTCTCGTAGGCTTCGTCATCTGAAGACATGGGCAGATGGATTGGAATTTTACTGGCTGAAACTGGTTCATCTACAGATCCTGGAGCGCTGCACTATGACTATATTGATGTGGAGATGACTGCAAGCGTCATACAAGCTGCAAAACAGACCTTCTGGTAAGATGCGTTAAAGCAGCTTAAGGGCATTTTCTGTCGTTTCAAAATGTGCAGCCTTTTGTTAGTTCTAGTTAGGGATGTAATAGTGTAGTCGATTAAAGGTCTAGAGAACATGACCTATGAAAGAAGGCTGAAAGAATTGGGCTTGTTTAGCTTGGAAAAGAGAAGATTGAGAGGGGACATGATAGCGGTTTTCAGGTATCTAAAAGAGTGTCACAAGGAGGAGGGAGAAAAATTGTTCTTCCTGGCCTCTGAGGATAGAACAAGAAGCAATGGGCTTAAACTACAGCAAGGGAGGTTTAAGTTGGACATTAGGAAAAAATTCCTAATTGTCAGGATGGTTAAACACTGGAATAAATTGCCTAGAAGGGAAATTACAGCAAGATAAGTTACTAGAATTAAAGACAGCATTGAATAGACAGCAAAGTGTGTTTACAAAAATTAAGAGACAGTGAAGCTACAGTTAAAACTAGTTATGTTTTGTCAGAATTAATAGCGCAAAGTTCAAAACTTTTATAAATTCACCTTCAGTGAACAGAGTGTATAGTGAAAACTGCTGAAATTGTATGTCCTGGAAATATGAAAGCATTCAAAGATATCTCTTTGTCATGGAACACAATTTCAGAGAGGATAAATGAAATGGCAAGTGATTTAAGTGAGCAATTAAAATAGAAATCATCAACTTCTGAAGCGTTTTCAATGGCTCTCGACGAAAGTACGGATATTGGCAGTGTTGTGCACCTGGCTGCCTTCTTGCATGCTTGTGACGGTGATTTCAATTTAACTGAAGAGCTTCTTGAACTCATACCTATGCATGACACTACAATTGGCCAAGACATTTTCAATTGCGTGATTGTACTTTTGGAGAAATGTAATTTAAGTTTGTCAAATTTGGTTTCCATAATGACTGATGGCACTCCTTTGATGACTGGGAAAAGAAGCGGTATTGTTGCTAGATTACAGGAACACCTAGCACCGAGAAACATAAAATTTAACTGTATTCACTGCATCATCCATCAGGAAGTGCTGTGCTGGTTATAAATTGCCCATAGAGTTTGTGGAATCTCTATCATCTAAGATTTTTAAGAGTGGGTTAGACAGACCCCTTCAGGAATGGTCTAAATCGTTGGTTCTCAGCCTATTTACCATAGTGAGATGAATATGTGGACCGCCATATGTTATGTGGGCCTCATACAATACTGAATGGCCATAAGGACCTCATATGGGCCGCAGCTCTATGTTGATTGGGCCACAAGTTGAGAACCATTGGGCTAAATAATACTTAGTCCTGATCTGAGTGCAGGAACTGAACTAGACTATTGAGGTACCTTCCAGTCCTACAGTTTATGATCTCACTCACTTTTTTGTTTAGCTGTAGTACGCTGGTTAGCTTTCCAAGTCCCAGGAAAGATCTCTGTGCAGCTCGAAAGCTTGTTCTTCTTCACCAACAGATTTTGATCTAATAAAAGTTACCACCTCACCCACCTTGTCTCTCTCATAGTCTCACTGCATCTAATTATTCCTTGTCGATGGATTTAAAGTTTGCCACAGTTTTGAAATTCACACCAATAGATGAATTCAGAAAACAGTGCAGGTTTTGTTATATTCCTCAAAACAGACCTTATGTCATGGAATCAGAAAAGTAATAAATACTTACCATGTAAGCAGTTTTTGAAAGTGTTTTACAACACAAATCAGCACTAGATGGGATGTGATATAGACATCTTGAATTGTTTTCATGTGTGGACGACTACAGGCTAAGGGGTGACCCCTTTACAAATACAGAAAGTGATTTTACAAAATATGGATAGAGGCTATCTTGGCCAGATAGTTTACTACAACTTTGAGCATGATCCTATAAGGTGCTGGGTGCTCTCAACTCTTGTTGAAACTACTGGGATATATCTATCATAAATGAATAGACTAAAAATAAATAAAAATGCAGTCTAGGAAGGAGTACTTCAGAAAGAGATCTAGGGGCTATAACGGACCACAAGCTAAATATGAGCTAATAGTGTGACACTATTGGGGGGGAAAAAAGCAAACATGTCTCTGGGATGAAATTGGAGTGTTGTGAGCAAGAAATGAGAAGTAATTATTCTACTTTACTATGCACTGATTATGCATCAGTTGGAGTATTGTGTCCAGTTCTGGGCTCCACATTTCAGAAAAGATGTGGAGAAATGAGAGAGACGATCCAGAGAAGAGCAACAAAAAGGATTAAAGGTCTAGAAAACATGACCTATGAGAGAAGACTGAATAAATTTGGTTTGATTAGTCTGGAAAAGAGAAGACTTCAGAGAGAGGGCATAACAGCTTTGAAGTACCTAAATGGGTGTTACAAGAGAATAACATTATTCTGCTTAACCTCTGATGATAGGACAAGAAGCAATGGGTTTAAATTACACAGCAAGGGAGCTTTAGGTTGGACATTAGGAAAACTTGCTAACTGTCACGGTGATTAAACACTGGAATAAATTGTCTATGGAAGTTGTGGAATCCCCATCATTGACGATTTTTAGAGCACAAAGTCTCTTCCCCGCCTTTCTCCACCAGGGATGTGCAGTATCAGAAGGAACCATCAGCTGTTTTAAAACAGCTGATGGTTCTCTCTAGCCTCCACATGCCTCTGGAGCATGTGAAATCTCTTCCTGCTGCAGTGGCATCAGAGGGAACCATTAGCTGTTTTAAAACAGCTGGCAATTCTCTCTAGGCTAGTGTTTCTTTAACTGTGTTCCACAGCAGTCGGAGGTGTGCCGCGGAGAATAGCAGTATTCAAAATGGCTGCCCTTAAAGGGGCAGGCAACCTTTTTTTCTCAATAATTTTCCCCCAGCCCTTTTTTTCTCCTCAATAACTTTTCCCCCAACCTTTTTTTTTTTTTTTCCCTCAACAAAAAATCCTTGGTGTGCCTCATTTAAAAAAAAAATGTTTGGTGTTCCTCGGTCTTAAAAAGTTTAAGAAACACTGCTCTAGGCTGTGTGTGTGTGTGTGTGTGTGTGTGTGTGTGTGTGTGTGTGTGCGCGCGCGCACGCGTGCGCGGGAAGACTTGATACTCTCCCCCAGGCCAATCAGAGTCTGTGGACAAGGGAGCATGAGAAGTTTCTTGGCCCCTCCCCTTCTGCCGGAGGCCATGCCCCTTCCGATGCAGCCTGGGGTCATGTCAGAAATTTTTGAAGTAGCCCCCTTTTAAAAATAATTGCCCATCCTTGATTTAGACAGTGCTTGGTCCTGCTGCGAGGGCAGGGGACTGACTGGACATGATGACATCTCAAGGTTCCTTCCAGTTCTAGTATTCTATAATAAAGGGTGAAAAACTAGGCTAGCTTTCTATGTGAAATACTGTACTTATCAGTGAAGTGTCAGGAGGGCCGCAGCACAGAAAAATGAGACACTTCACTCATGCTCTAGTTTGAATGTCTTTTGATAGAAATCAAGATTGCTTCATCTCTTGCCATAATCCCATTTTTGTCAAATCCGAGTAATTTTAATAGAATCATATTGCAGTTAATTTAGAGAGCTTATGCTTATGTATGTTTTGAAGTTAAATGGGCTAAAAAAAAAGTTCTTCCTGTAACATGCATTTTTTGCTTCCATCAGCATCCAGTGATAACCACATGTAAGAGAGAAGCCGGATGGGAATGTTTTTGCCTGAATACTGCTTGGTTTTCATTTTATGAACAAATGCTATATTAATTGAAACCAAGTGGGGGAGGGGGGAAAAAACAAGTGCAACTGGACCACATATTAGAAAAGAATGCCAAGTCTAACTTGCAGGATAATAAAATTCACTATCAAGCATTTGTTTAAATTTGTTGTACCACAATAAAGTGAATGTAAGAACTTGTCAGCAAGCAACCTAGATCATTTCTCTTTTAACTTCTGATTCAATTAATTGTATAAAATTAAATGGAGAAATGAGAAATAACAAGGCTTTTCTTATCCATCCACTTAGTGAAAACTTTCACTTTGCAGTTACTACACCCTCTTTCACTCTAGCCTTGAGTAATGCCATCAGGCCCTATTCAGTTTGCAGTTACTACACCCTCTTTCACTCTAGCCTTGAGTAATGCCATCAGGACGATATTCATATCGTTCCTACAAAGATCACTTTTCTACACTATCCTTTAATTGTTTTTGTTTTCTATTATAGCACCTGGGAGTCCCAGGCATGGACCCCTCTCTTTGACTCCTTCAACTGTTATTCCCTCTTTTTATATCATGCCATAGATAGACTCGTAGAATTATTAGAGTTGGAAGATACCTCAGGAGGTCAGCTAATCCAGTTCCCTCTCCTCCAAGAAGGGCCAGCACCGACTAAATCATTCCATTAGACTATGGCGATATACCTATCTCATAGAGCTGAAAGGGACCTTGAGCGGTCAAGTCCAGTCCCCTGCCCCTCACAACAGGACTAAGTACCGTCCCTGACAGGTTTTGCCCCAGATCCCTGAATGACCCCCTCAAGGATTGAACTCACAACCTTGGGCTTAGCAGGCTAATGCTCAAACCACTAAGCTATAGCCAGGACTTAAAATTCTCTAGGGATGAAGATTCCGCCACCTCCCTAGGTAACCCATTTCAGTGCTTCTGCACCCTCCTAATGAAATAGTTTTTCCTAATATCCAACCTAGACCTCCCCGCTGCAATTTGAGCCAAAGGTGGGTGAGAGAAAAACTTTTACTGGACCCAATTCTGTTGGTGAAGGAGACAGGCTTTATCATAGACTGTATCACTCATTACATTTTCAAATAAGTATTTGTGAGCTTTATCTCATGCCTGCCCCTCATGCTTGGGAGGAGCTCCCCATAAACATCCATAAAATTACCTCATCATTCTCCTTCAAAACTCTCTTGGTATGATGCCAACAATACATTTGACAACAGTTAGACTGTTGGTCTGTTGAGACTATTGCCCATCATGCTTGACTAATATTATCTCATTGTTTCCTTGCACTCTCCCTCTGTTCTCTCTTAGACTTAGCTAGTAAGATATTTGGCACAGGGATTGTATATAGTTCTAAATATAGTCCAGAAATATGTGGATAGTGTTTCTCATTAATGACAACAGAAAAAATATTTGAGTTTCATGATAACACTTTGTTTTTTAGAGCTATGTGTAAGTGGGGGAATGGTCCCGCTATTGTGGGGAACTTTCCTGGCTTCTATACCGCCCAGGTGAAGTGGACCAGCGAAAGGATCTGAGTCCCCACTCCCCACTTCCTTTACCCCACGGCTTCCCTGAGCCTGAGGGCTCCTCCTCCACTCTCCTGAGTAGCAGAGTCCTCGAAACCCCAACAAGGCTGGGCCCAGGTTTCCTGGGGCTTAATCCCCAACCTTGTAGTCACTAGGGGCAGGAGTTAGGATGTCCCCACTCCGAGGTGCTCTCTTCACACTGCATGCTTTCTTGGCCCAGTGATCATTTCATAAGGTTCTAAGCAAATACAATTTATTAAACATCAACTGATTAAAGAGAAAAGAATAAGAAAAAATGAGAATGGTTAAATGAGAACACACAGCCCTGCTCTGTAGCACAGGGAAATCAAAACAGCAGCCTGCAGAGTGTAAGGACAGTTCACAGTTTCTTCCTTGTAGGCCCCTTAGAGGCCCTGGATGTGCTGCAGGGGGGCTGCAGGCTGGACACACTTGCTCTGGCAGTGACCACACAGCCTCAAGCTCTTAAGTGGCCAGACCCCTCTCCCAGTCTGGCCTGCTGGGCCTCTTGGCTGGTGATATCTCCCTGCCCAGAGCTTCTCCCCGCACTTTGCTGGTCCCAGCTGCTCACCACACCCAGCTGTAGGCTGTGCTGCTTTGCCAGTCTCCAGCTCCTTGCGTTGCTTCTCTGTCCCTTTTGGCTCTTTGAGCACTGCCAGTCTGCTTCTCAACACCGGGTCTGCGCTCCTTGAGCTGTGTGCCTGGCTCTGTTGCTGCAAAACTGCCCCTCAGCACAGCTTGCACTCCTTGGGCTGTATGTGCCTGGCTCTGTTGCTGCAGGACTGCTTCTCCACACATCTTATTCCTCTTAGCTGTCTCTCAGCTCTCTCCTTACTCAGAGAGACCCAGAAAAATCCCAGCTCACAGGGAGGACGGGCCCTGGCCTCTCACTTTCCTCACTGGCCTGTCCAACCTGTCAATCAGGCCGAGCTGGAGTGTTGGCTGCTTTCCATTGTCTCTGGGGTCTGTCAGTCTCAGGGCCCTGATTTCTCATGGACCCTTCCCCTTTTGATACTGGGAGCAGGCGAATCAAAAACTCCCACAGAGTTTTAGTAAGGGGCTAACAGTCCCCTTACATATGATTCGCTTAGGGGCATTTTTACAATGGTGAATTATGATTTCCCCCCTGCAAACTGTCATCTCATGATTATCTTGTCTAGTTAATCCCAATATAACTTTTTAAAAATGCTCCTCTGGAAGAAGACATGATAAATTCCAATTGAGGGTTCATTAGCAAGTTGGAGGGTATTAAAAGTCAGATGACAATGGAAAATTACTTAAAAATGTAAGGTCTGATTCTGTAAATATTTACACATGCCAGTAACTACACACATGGAATTTAATTGGTCTTTTCTACAGAAAACATTGTTCATTATTCTGCAATATTGGAATAAAATATAACATGTATGGCAAGCTTTTCCCACATTATTTATGACCCATATGGAGAAACAAGAGACCCCTTTACCTAACTTCATAATTTCATTGTATTTTGTTAATGTCAACTTCAGAAATCCAATCATTCTATCCTGAACCTTTGTTTTCCTTCTTATTTCTTATTGGCTCTGTTTCAAAGGTTGCTTGTGAAATTATGATCAGTTCAAGGTTCCACACACAGGAGATTTTGCTTGGTTTGCTCCATTACCTAAAATGGTTGTAGTAAAGTCTTAGGTTACAGCCCCCTTCTCACCACTACCATGTGGAAAATTTTTTTATTGAAGTCTGGCAAATTGGTTTATATCAGCAGGCTCATATGTGACACCATATAGCAGCTAAAGCTGTCTCTATCCTTCCTTTCACACAGTCCTCTATTTTCTCTTATGATTATGGTTCAGAAACATACATTGTGATATTGGATGTTAGCAGCCAGATATGAATAAAATGCAGAGTTTGCTCTTCTTTTTCATGGAGGTTGCAGAAGGAGGAAAACTCTCTGTAGCTTTACTAGAGAGAAGCTGTATGCTTCCAGAACTGGCAGATCATCAATTGTGGGTGTAGCACCAGTGAATCATCATGCAGACTAAGGACCAAGCATTATTTTTTGTTTTACATAGTTTTATGAACAGACGTGTTATATCTACTAATCCGTATCGGGGAAGCACTGGAAATGGCTACGCATGTCCCAGTGGACTGGCACTTCATTATGATGATGTTCCCTGCATAAATGGATCGGTAAGAATTTAATTTTTACAGTTCAAATGCCTTACATGTGTTGAACGCAAGGACACCTGAAAACTGTATTACCTCGTTGAGCGCCAATGGGCAGATTCCAAATGAACTCAAGTTTTCTATTCTCTTTGTAATCAGGCACCACAAAGCCTCTCTCATCTGCAGACTTGTGAGGGAGTGGGACATATTGTTTAAATTAACTTGTTCATGAGTCAGCATATATTTGTAAAAACAACTGTGTGTTGATCCGTTTATGCCAAATCCATTAATAAAATCCTTGAATTTTTAAAAAGAAACATTCATTAGACCAAAGCAATACTCAGGGCTTGATTGTGCCCAGCCCTGTGTTGGGTGATGTAAGTTGTGAAGAAAGTTCAACAAGCTGTCCTCCCTTTGCTCTGACACTTGTGCTGTTGGTCCCAAAGAGAGCAGGCTGAGGGCAAAGTCGTGGTCCCACCCCAGCCTCTTCATTAGCCTGTACAGCTTGTTCTTTTTAGGAGTGGGTAAAGAAGTGCATATTGCACACAATGGCACGTGGTCTCTAGTCACTCATGTGAAGGTGCTGCGCTCAGCTTAGTTCCTAATTCAGGCTGTGTCTTAAAGGCAGTTTGAAGACCTCAGTTTGAAAACTGACAGAAATATTCAGAAATTCAAGGCATAGGCAGTCAGAAACAAGTGGGCTGTGTCTACACTGGCATGAATTTCCGGAACTGCTTAAAACGGAATACTATTCCATTTTCAGTTTTTCCAGAAAAGGAGCGTCTACATTGGCAGGCTGCTTTTCCGGAAAAGCCCTTTTTCCGGAAAAGCATCTGTGGCCAATGTAGACGCGCTTTTCCGGAAAAGCCCTTTTTCCGGAAAAGCATCTGTGGCCAATGTAGACGCGCTTTTCCGGAAAAGCCCTTTTTCCGGAAAAGCATCTGTGGCCAATGTAGACGCGCTTTTCCGGAAAAGCCCTTTTTCCGGAAAAGCATCTGTGGCCAATGTAGACGCGCTTTTCCGGAAAAGCCCTTTTTCCGGAAAAGCAGCCTGCCAATGTAGACGCTCCTTTTCTGGAAAAACTGAAAATGGAATAGTATTCCGTTTTAAGCAGTTCCGGAAATTCACGCCAGTGTAGACACAGCCGTGCAGTGTTCTCTTGTAACATGTCAGAGGAGTAGTAGGGGAAAGTCTCTAAGGAGTAGGACATAGCAGAGTGTTTGAGTGGGATGCACATGTAATCCTTGGGTGTGCTTTGGACAGCATCTGAGGAGGGTACTCAGACAGGGTGGATTAAGGAAAGCTTTTGGGCATGCAGACCCACAGCTTCTTTTAAGATTAAATGAGCGAATCTCTAGGTGATTGTTATTGTGTTCTCCAGTTTTATGGAAAGAGAAAATGGCCTGGAGCTATTTTAGGTATTTACTTTAGCTCAGTAATACTTTTTCCAACAAGTAAAATAAAATGCTAGTGCACAAGCAGCTGATAGCTACTGAAAAGACACGTGGCCTGAAAAAAAAAACCCTCATAGCTTCTGCTAGTTGCCAGATCTGAAAATCTCAATTATCAGTCAGATTTAGCAAAATGTGCCCCGGAGATTTTCCTGAAGGCTCATCTGTGTTGTTCATGAGTGCCCCACAATTGTCCTATTTATACAAGAAAGTAGATCTCAACATCGGTACTGTAGCACCTTCTTTCTCAGAAATACTAACTGGAAAGTAATAATAAAGTAATACAGGTTGTATTTCCCTGAACTCTCGGACTACGGATGTTGCTGGACCACAGAGCCCAGGTACAGGGAGGTTGGGCTGACTCTGGGCAGGAGCAGCGAGGTGGAGGGGGGGCATGGAGATTCAGCCGGGAGCCAGGGGGCAATGCACAGGGGGTGGGTGGTGCAGCAGGGAGCTCAGGCTACTGTGGCCAGGTGGTAGAGGAGACCCGGCCATGGTAGTCACAGAACTCTGGCCCCGGCTGTGGAGCTTGTGGATTGCAGTGGCAGCCGTGGAGCTTGGGGACGGCAGCGGCAGCTGTGGAGCTTCAACCGTAGAGCTCCAGCCCCCACCACAGCGCTCTGTCCCCTGTTGTGGAGCTCCAACCCCAGCAGCACCCACGGCCGGGCAGGCAGCAGCAGGTCTAGACTGGAGTCCTAGCTGGGGGCAGCAAGCTAGCACGAGCCATGTTGAGAGGGACCTCCCTTGGTCTGACAAATCCCCTCGTTCAAGATCAGTCAGATCCTGAGAGTGCCGGACGAGAGAGGTCCAACCTGTAGTATAAGGGCTAACATCACAGTCCCCTTTTCTCTGCTTAATAGAAAACACAAGAAAATTCAGGTTATGAAATAGATAACCTATTCCTCTGTTTTCCTCAGGCACCCGAACATACCATAGCTATCAATGTTTTTCTAGACCAGTTTGGCTCAAATGTCAGGAAAAAAACAAAATCTTGCTAAACTCAAAGGGTTTTAATGATTCTAAATAACCTGCTAATGTTTTAATTTTGCATAGGTCCTGCATGTGGTTTTTGTGTACTAACAGCAAAAGTGTGTGTGTTGCAGTGGGAACTGGAAGATGGCTTTCCTCCTTCTCGTAGCAGAAGTATGGGAGAAGAAGTGCTTTATGATAACGCAGGCCTGTACGATAACTTGCCGTCTCCGAAAATCTTTGCACGCTATCCACCTGCTGACAGAAAAGCCAATAGGTTATCTACTGACAAACTCTCCTCTAACCATTACAAAAACCCTGTCTCGTCCAATCTGTCCTCTGCTCAGTCTGTCACTAACACCTCTGCTGTGGGGCGGGGATCTGGCTCACAGGTACTTACAATGTTTAATACTGTAACAAAGCCTTTTACTTCAGTTCTGTTTGTGTTGGGGTTATTTCACTGGCCTGATTTTAACACTAGAATGCTTGCAACTTAAATGGGGGCCGCTACAAGTAATAGAGTTCCACCTAGATTGTAAATTCTGACCTGTAGGTGCTGTCTTCCTGTTTGTCCATAAAATATCTGCTTAACATGCTCTTGCTGTATCTAGAGCCAAACAAAATGCAGCCATACAACGGCAAGCTTTCCTCCTGGCTTTCGGTTGGCTTCCGCATATTTCCTATAGGGGGTTTCAGCACAGCTTGCTGCTGTAACAAAAATATTACATATAAATATTTCAGGGACTGCAATGTGGAACTGTTGCACATACAGATTTCTGTGCACCACCCTGTGACTCTTTGGCCCACTAAATGATTTGTTTTTATGTGATAAGATACTTGGCATTTTAGTTTTAAGTGTGTTACTGGTTTACTGAAACATACAATGTAACTACATTTAAGTAACTGCCCTGTTGCTTGCTTCCCTTGAGAAAACTATGATTTCTTTTTTGCAGTCATAAAGTATACCATATCAGAATACACAGTGAAGGACAATGGCATACAATTCTCAGTTAGTTTACTAGTTTAATTTAAAGATACTAAAATGAAGGTAGTCTTTTGCATCTGAAATGTATTATTTATATGACCAATAGTTTAGTCCAATTATGCATACAAAGCTAGGAATATAATGTTAGAACCAGACATGGGCCTGAGCTCAGAAACTCAGGATTGCTGGGTTAGGACCATCTGGGATTAAAACAGAGTATCAGTAGGTCACTCTCTGCACTGTCCTTACTTTTCTATTAATATATTTCAAAAGTACCTACAAACAAACAGAATATGTACTTTAAGGAACATATGTGCGGATACAGGTGTGTGAGCAAGTGAACCTTGGTACAAGAACCAAATGCAGAGGCCTTTTGACTTAAAAAGTTGAACAGGGAACCTTTGTTCATTGTATTACAAAGGAGAAAGTGTTTGAAATGACATAAGACTAGGCACAAGCAGCCCCTGCCCATGGTGCGGTGGGCTCATACCAGCCTGGTCAGAGAAGTCTGCGGCATGGAGCAGCCCCACACCCACAATGCGCGGCATCCACGGGATGCCCGTCAACCAGTTAAACGCAATGTTTAACCAGTTAACTTTTTAAACTGGAATGTAGGAGGCTTGGATCTAAAAGTTAAGCATAGTTTTTTAAAATTAAAAAAAGAAAAAAATGGCTTTGGTTGAAGCATACAGTAAGGCTTATAAAACAACAACAACAACAAATGGACTGGTAGCACTTTATAGACTAACAAAACATGTAGATGTTAGTCTATAAAGTGCTACCAGTCCATTTGTTGTTGTTGTTGTTTTATAAGCCTTACTGTATGCTTCAACCAAAGCCATTTTTTTCTTTTTTTAATTTTAAAAAACTATGCTTAACTTTTAGATCCAAGCCTCCTACATTCCAGTTTAAAAAGTTAACTGGTTAAACATTGCGTTTAACTGGTTGACGGGCATCCCGTGGATGCCGCGCATTGTGGGTGTGGGGCTGCTCCATGCCGCAGACTTCTCTGACCAGGCTGGTATGAGCCCACCGCACCATGGGCAGGGGCTGCTTGTGCCTGCGTCAGGTGGGAGCTGCTGTAGCCAGGCTAGGCCGCCAGCTAACCCTTCACATCCCTACCATATTCGTGCTGTTTGTAGGTACAAAGAGTTCAGTCTTTACCTTTTATAGAATATGTGAATCTTACATTTAATAAGTAATAAAAAAATTCACTCCTTTGCCAAGAGTCAGTACAAAAGCTATACTCAATTTAGGCCACACTGAAGCAAAAGGGTGGCACTTCTTTAGATCTTTTGCTGGCCTTTTGAGTAGGGGCGAATTTCACTCTAAGATTCTCAAAACCCTGGTTAATCATTTTAGAAACACTAGGGTCTAGTTTACACTAGAAAGGCTTTACCAGTACAATTATATTGAAAACACACTCTGCCTTTATAACTGGGCCTTTATCAGTGTAGAAGGGTTGCAAAATGGCGAGTGTAACCTTTGTCTAGCTGACCAGTTAAAAAGAAAGTAAAGGGGATAATGTTTTTTAGTACTATGACCTTGTTTTAGCTAGTCCTTTTGTATGTCTTGTAAAGAAGTAACTATTTTGATTGCCTTGTAATAAAGTATTCTGCAATATTTCTCTGAAGAATTAGATAAAGTTTCAAGAGTCAGAGAAAATGACAAAAGCATTATAAAATTTATGTCCATTTTCTTTAATGGAAAAAGCAAGTGAGAAAGAAAAGGATAATTCTGATCCCTGTATTTAGTCATGCATGGAAACCCACATGCTACTCTGGCAACTAGCTAGTATTGCATACTCAACTGGAGTCATTAAGTGCCAGATTCTTTCACCCTTACTCTCTTCAAGTAGAGTACAGGCAGTCCCCGGGTTACGTACAAGATAGGGACTGTAGGTTTGTTCTTAAGTTGAATTTGTATGTAAGTCGGAACTGGTACTGGTATTGTAGGGGAAACTCTAGCCAAACATTTCTCAAGAGCTCAGTTTTATTCTCCCACACCTCACTTCCCTCAGTCCTTTATTCTCAAGCTGAGGTATCTGCTGAGAAAAGCCGCTCCGCGTCTCCCTGGTCTGCTGGGGGGAAGCAGCTAGTGCGGGGTTGCCTTACCCTGTTTGTAAGTAGGGATCCGATGTAAGTCGGATCCATGTAACCCGGGGACTGCCTGTATCTTACACTTATGGCTCTGTTGAATTCAATGGGACTTCTTAGGCAGTTAAGGAGCTACTCAGCCTGAGTGAGGATGACAGAAACAAACCATAAATAACTTGCCTGTCAGATTCTATTTGCAACCTGTTGCTCAGGTTGCTACAAGGAGTTCTAGCAATAAATATGAAATTAGGATCTTGGCCATGTAAGGAAATATTCTATAGTATGTCATGAGCAAAACAGACAGGGACTATGTCTTTGCATGCCATTCAGAGAAATTATCTGTCACAACTCAGAACTGTACTGTTTCTGTATCCGAGAGCACCCGCCGAGTGCTCTCTGCTTCCATACAGCTCCTTCCTCTGTAAGGAGTGGGGGAGAGGCCAACCACTGCTGCCATGCTGGGCCAGGACCCCTTGGTAATACCCCTTGAGGATTCAGCTTCAGCTGGAGTGCCATGGTGGAGAGAGAGCAGGGCAATGTTGGGAAGGGGCAGGGTTTGGGGAATAGGAACAGACAGACTCCCCTCCCTTCGGCCTGCTGGGATTCCTGGGGTAGATTGCACAATTACTCCAGCCAGGCATGGGCTGGGAGTTTCAGACCCCACTGGACCTTAATAGGTTCAGTTTCTATTTTTTTGAAATACTTTTAATAGGCCAAATACTCTAGTTTTCTGTCCATGTAGCTTCATTCCTAGAGGCATAGCTCTGTACTGTTCTTTTATTGTCCAGGAGTCTGTTAGAGCTTATGTCTAGCCATTATCAAGGGTGTGGTACAAAAACCACCTTAATTTTGCCTTTTTCACTGAGTTTGTTTTGTTGGAGGTACCATGAAAGAGAATCTGTTAATTAACGTCTTTTGTGTATTTTTAATTATTTAATTTTGAAATAGCATCCATATACTATAGCAATGCAATTCCTAGAAAATGTACCAAATAAGGATATGTAATAAGTATAAAACAGCTTAACATTGTATCTCACTATGAGTGGGCAAAACTGATGGTTCTACAGCTTCTTGTGGTAGGTATGAAAGTAATGTGCCTCCTTTCTGTTTTTAAAGGGCTTTGCAATATAAAATTGTTACAAAGTACCACTTAGTCCATTAGAGCATCATTCTTAAAATGTGTCAGTTTATTAGCAACTGTGATGCCACCACAGATGGAAGGGAAAGAAAGAAGAGAGTGAGAGAGAATCTCACAATTCCCAGTGATTATCAGCCTCTGATCTTACTCAGTGATATGGTCTCTAGAGATTGCACTGTTTTCAGCAGAATCTATTAAGCATATGAACAGCTTCTAGGAAGACAGGCAGCTTTAAACAACTCTTTCAAGCTTTGCTCTTGGTGATTGTTATTATGGCACCATCCATACAACAATAATTACCAGTGCATAAATATTTTGTTTTCAAACAGTTTAAGGGCAAAAAAAGCCCCGCAACTGCAAATGGTATCGTGGGAAAAGGGAGAATTTTAAATAACCAGCAGAAGAAATCTGAATCAATGTCATGTGTGAAGCGCACTGCATCAAGTAAGTACATCCCTTAATGATCTTGCTTTGCAACTTTGGGCATAAGGAAATAGGATGGGTCTTTCTAGATAGCAAGAAAAAGAGAAAGATCAGATTGCTGAGGTCCAGCCCCCATTCTCCAGGAAAAGGGGATGTGAAAGATCTTTGGCTTAAAGATGTTAGAGGAGTCTGGGCCAAGGTGTTTCTTAGGCAGAGGCAAAGAAGGTGAGACATTTGTCAGCCTAACCTTACTGGGAGAGGAGAAGCACTTATCTAGGGACTTCAGCCTTTTGCCTGGAGTATAAGTTGTGGGGGAGCTGAGTTTTCAAACTTCATCATTCAGTTAAATCTCAGGTCAGAGATTCAGCCTGGCTAAGCACAGGAAACATATTTTGCATGTTTATCAGAATCTGTTTTGTCTGCACTCTTAGGGAGGAATTCTTAGTACAAGAGCCTTGTAAGGTGTCTGGTATTTTCCATTTCTTCCGGAAGATTCTTGAAAACAAGACTTTCTCACATTATTTCAGTAT